TCACACGCTTCGTGGCTCCATAGGGAGCTCCACCGAAGGCCCCAGTGGCTGCGCCCGCATGCGGTTCCACCCCCCATTCTGGCACACCCCTCACACGTTTCGTGGCCCCATAGGGAGCTCCACCGAAGGCCCCAGTGGCTGCGCCCGCATGCGGTTCCACCCCCCATTCTGGCACACCCCTCACACGTTTCGTGGCCCCATAGGGAGCTCCACCGAAGGCCCCAGTGGCTGCGCCCGCATGCGGTTCCACCCCCCATTCTGGCACACCCCTCACACGTTTCGTGGCCCCATAGGGAGCTCCACCGAAGGCCCCAGTGGCTGCGCCCGCATGCGGTTCCACCCCCCATTCTGGCACACCCCTCACACGTTTCGTGGCCCCATAGGGAGCTCCACCGAAGGCCCCAGTGGCTGCGCCCGCATGCGGTTCCACCCCCCATTCTGGCACACCCCTCACACGTTTCGTGGCCCCATAGGGAGCTCCACCGAAGGCCCCAGTGGCTGCGCCCGCATGCGGTTCCACCCCCCATTCTGGCACACCCCTCACACGCTTCGTGGGTGGCTCCATGGGGAGCTCCACCGAACGCCCCAGTGGCTGCGCTCGCATGTGGTTCCCCCCCCATTTCGGCACACCCCTCACACGGTTCGTGGCCCCATAGAGAGCTCCACCGAAGGCCCCAGTGGCTGCGCTCGCATGCGGTTCCACCACCTTTTTCGGCACGCCCTTCACACGTCTCGTGGCCCCATAGGGAGCTCCACCGAACGCCGCAGTGGCTGCGCCGCATGCGGTTCCACCCCCCATTTCGGCACACCCCTCACACGTTTCGTGGCTCCATAGGGAGCTCCACCGAAGGCGCCCCAGTGGCTGCGCTCGCATTGGTTCCCCCCCCATTTCGGCACACCCCTCGCACGTTTCGTGGCCCCATAGGGGGCTCCACCAAAGGTCCCAGTGGCACTGCCCGCTTGCGTCCGCCACCACCCAGCACAGCCCTTGTTCCCTGCGCTTCACCCACCCAGAACAGCGCTTCGTAGCCCTATAGGGAGCTCCACCAAAGGTCCCAGCGGCACCGCCCGCATGCGTCCGCCACCACCCTGCACAGCCCTTGCTCCCTGCCTGCGTTTCACCCACCCAGTACAGCGTTTCGTGGCCCCATAGGGAGCTCCACCGAAGGTCCCAGTGGCACCGCTCGCATGCGTCCGCCACCACGCAGCACAGCCCTTGCTGACCGCGTCTCGCCCACCCAGTACAGCGTTTCGTGGCCCCATAGGGAGCTCCACCGAAGGTCCCAGTGGCACCGCCCGTATGCGTCCGCCACCACCCAGCACAATTGCGGCATTCACAACTGCATCTGGTTCGGTCCTTCGCCAGGCTAATTCTGGTTGTTTTGGCTTGTTTTCTCTTGTCCATCGGTTGCGTTGGCCGCCCCAAGATCGTCGGCCGCCCCTCGGTCGCTCGGCCCCTCCGCTGGCCCGTTCCCTAGCTTGTTGTGGTTCTTTTGGCTTGTTTTCGCTTGTCCATCGGTTGCGCTGGTCGCCCTAAGCTCGTCGGCCGCCCCTCGGTCGCTTGGCTGGCCCTTTCCCTGGCGTGTTTTGGTTCTTTTGGCTTGTTTTCGCTTGTCAATCGGTTGCTCTGGTCGCGCCGGGCTCGTCGGCCGCCACTCGGTCGCTCGGACCCTCGGCTGGCCCTTTCCAAGGCTGGTTTTGGTTGTTTTGGTTTGGTTTCGCTTGTCCATCGGTTGCGCTGGTCGCCCCAGGCTCGTCGGCCGCCCCTCGGTCGCTCGGCCCCTCGGCTGGCCCGATCCCAAGCTGGTTTTGGTTGTTTTGGCTTGTGTTCGCTGGTCCATCGGTTGCGCTGGTCGCCCTGGGCTCGTCGACTGGCCTTCGGTCGCTCGGCCATGGCTGGCCCGTTCCCTGTCGTATTTTGGTTCATTGGTGTGCTTTCGCTTGTCCATCGGTTGCCTTGGTCGCCCCAGGCTCGTCGGCCGCCCCTCGGTCGCTCGGCCCCTCGGATTGCCAGTTCCCAACTAGTTTGGGCGTTTTGCTTGTTCTCGCTTGTCCATCGGTTGCACTGGTCGCCCCAAGCTCGTCAGCCGCCCCTCGGTCGCTCGGCCCCTCGGCTGGCCCGCTACCAGGCTGGTTTTGGTTTCGTTGGCTTGTGTTCGCTTGTCCATCGGTTGCATTGGTCGCCCCAGGCTCGTCGGCCGCCCCTCGGTCGCTCGGCCCCTCGGATGGCCCGTTCCCAGGCTGGCTTTGGTTGTGTTGGCTTGTTTTCGCTTGTCCATCGGTTGCATTGGCCGCCCCAAGCTCGTCGGCCGCCCTCGGTCGCTCGGCCGCTGTTTTGGCTTGTTTTCGCTTGTCGATCGGCTGCATTGGTCGCCCCAGGCTTGTCGGCCGCCCCTCGGTCGCTCGGCCCCTCGGCTGACCAGCTCCCAACTGGTTTTGGTTGTTTTGTTTTGTTTTCGCTTGTCCATCGGCTGGCCCGTTCCCAGACTGGTGTTGGTTGTTTTGGATTGCTTTCGCTTGTCCATCGGTTGCACTGGTCGCCCCAAGCTCGTCGACAGCCTCTCGGTCGCTCGGCCCCCCGGCTGGCCCGTTCCCAGGCTGGCTTTGGTTGATTTGTTTTGTTTTCTCTTGTCCATCGGTTGCGCTGGTCGCCCCAAGCTCGTCGGCCGCCCCTCGGTCGCTCGGCCCCTCGGATGGCCCTTTCCCTGGCTGGTTTTGGTTGTTTTGGATTGTGTTCGCTTGTCCATCGGTTGCTCTGGTCGCCCCGGGCTCGTCGGCCGCCCCTCGTCGCTCGGCCCCTCGGCTGGCTCGTTCCCTGGCTCCTTTTGGTTGTTTTGGCTTGTTTTCGCTTGTCCATCGGTTGCACTGGTCGCTGGGCCGACCAGCGCAACCCATGGACAAGCGAAAGCAAACCAGAACAAACAACGCCAGCTTGGGAACGGGCCAGCCGAGGGGCCGAGCGGCCGAGGGGCGGCCGACGAGCCCGGGGAGACCAACCAGTGTCACCGATGGACAAACGAAAACAAAGCAAAACAACCAAAACCAGCCAGGTGACGGGCCAGCCGAGGGGCCGAGCGACCGAGGGGCGGCCGACGAGCCCGGGGCGACCAGTGCAACCGATGGACCAGCGAAATCAAGCCAAAAACAACCAACGCCAGCCTGGGCACGGGCCAGCCGGGGGGCCGAGCGACCGAGAGGCGGCCGACGAGCCCGGGGAGACCAGAGCAACCGATGGACAAGCGAACACAAACCAAAACAACCAATACCAGCCTGGGAACGGGCCGGCCGAGGGGCCCAGCGGCCGAGGGGCGGCCGACGAGCCTGGGGCGACCAGTGCAACCGATGGACAAACGAACAACAAGCCAAAACAACGAAACCTAGGGCCATCCGAGGGGCCGAGCGATCGAGGGGCGGCCGACGAGCCCAGGGCAACCGACGGAAAAGCGAAAACAAACTAAAACCAAAATCGGCCAGACAAGCAACAACAAGCGACGGATAAACAAAAGCCACCAGAAACAATCAACGTCTTCCAGGGAGGTAACAACCAAGCCCTAGAAGTATATTAGGTTTGCGCCCGCCCCCAAGAACAACCAAATATTACCATTCTTGACATAGGAAGGCGCGTAAAGTAGATTGGGATCTGGGAATCCAGAAATACTTACTTTCAACGACCAATGAGTAATCATAACTTGTAACGCTTCCCCAACCTTCGCTGCCATCTAAGCTGGTTTGAACCGATTGTGGCTACCAGGGGCCTAGCTGAAGAACATGTATCCTTCCCCCTGCAATTGCTGCCGCCATAGCCCGCCGCCGCGGGAACATGAGGAAGCGAGACTGAACCCCGTTCCGTCGAATGGCCTCCGACCAGGGACATGCCCCCCATCACGCCTAACAAGAATAAGACAGCGTGCGCATGACGGCGCGCACTGGACAACATACTCCCACCCCCATCAGCCGCATACCTTCCCGTACCCTAACCCGCCCACAAGTATGTGTGTGAAGCAGACTGCCTATTGCAACTGTTTGGGGTCACGTAGCTCTCTGTCCGCAATCATCGTTGGGGTGCGCAGCGTCCAGGTCTGGACGAACACATCAGCGGCATAGTTTTCGTAAAACACTCTCGATTCTACCCCGACGGTCGTTAACACCTAGCTACTTCGGAACATTAAGCAGGACACGCGGCACCGTGCCAGATGAATCCAATCGAAAATGATTCGACACTAACCGATCTGTTCGACTCTAGCTCGACCTAGCTCGACTCAAAGTCGACTCAGGCCGCCGGACGTTCGACGCAGCATCGCCGCATGAGTGGAGCGAGTGGCTCCAGGAAGGTCCCCAGAACGAGCATCTATAGTGCAAGCCGTTCCCGCGGGTCCCATGGGAACTAATAGGACTACAACGGAGGCTTCAATAATCCATAGGGGTCCGATGGGGGGAGCCTGAAATCAATAAACGTCTGTATGAATCCATCGGTTCGCACATTGAAATCCCAAGGGGGCCTGAGGAACCCGTGAACATTCAACAGGAACCAATCACCAATCGGTTCTGACATGCCCGACTCCAGCCGTGACAAACGGAGGGCCCGGGCCCAGACCAGCCTGGAGCTACAACTGGACATCTTCCCCAACCATGGGATGCCTGATCTCCACCCCCAGCATGGCGATTACCATCGAAGGCGCGCCTGGGGGGGAAGTGAGAAGGAGTAGGCCTTCTCAGAAGGCGGCGGGTCTTCTCAGAAGCCCTGCGGCCTTCTGAGGAATTTCCTGCGTCTTCGGGGAAAGCTCAGAAAACTTCTCAGAAGGCCGTGGGACTTCCGAGCCTTCTGAGAAGGCCCGACCCTTCTCACTTCCCCACCCCCGGGCTCGCCGCCGATGATCTCTCCCCCCCAGCAAGGCGATTACCAAGCAATGCACCCTCGTGAGGTCTCAAACCTGGCAGGGTGTGGCGGCGAGGCCGTACCTCGGCGGCAGCGGCAGCGGTTGCTCCCCCCTGTCGCGGGCCTCGCGGGCAGTGCGCTCGTAGGCCTCTCGGGCATACGCGAGGCGAGAGGACAGATGGGGGAAATGCTCGGCCCAGCCCCCCGCACGCCAATGGGCAACTTCTTGGGCCCCTCTTGGCTTCCTTGTCGAAGCCGTCTTGGGAAGGCCGAGAGTTCACGCATAGCCGGGGCTCTGGCTGTTTTCTTTCATGAACTCGGTGCAGGGATGAGGAACCATGCCAGCTCTCCCATTGAAGGAAAGGGGGCTCCACCATGCGAAGCAACAGCCATGGAGAAGAAGGGAGGAGAGGAGGGATAGGTGGAGGAGGGAAAGGAGGACGAGGAGGAGGAAGAGCAGCAGACTCCCAGAAGGAAAAACTCGCAACTGGACCATTCACGGGGCTCTGGCCGATCAGGCTCTCTCAGACGAGGAGCAGGGCGACGGGAATAACACATTCGGCTCATCTGCCCCACAACGACGGAGGACGCCCGAGGCACGGGCGGGGAAGCGACGGCACGTGGACGGCCCTGCCCGCAGCCCAAGACCGCAGTACAGTAGCTCGTAACTGATTGTCTGAGGATGCCTTGCACTTTGTCGGCACGCCCGCGCGGGTCTCGACGATCTGAGCGGCTCTGTCTTCTCCTCCCCTCTGCTCTCCCCGCGTCCCGCCGTGCCCCAATTCGCTTCTGGCGCTTCCGCTTGCGCCCGCTGACTTAAAAGGTCTAAGGATGCCTGTACCGCAAGACATCAAGTCGAATAGCCGCCCCCTCCATCCCTCTTCCTCCCTCACATCCACCTCCTCCTCCTCCTCCTCCTCCTCCTCCTCCTCCCCCTCCTCCTCCTCCTCCTCCTCCCCCTCCATCCTTCCTCCTCCGCATCGCCTGTGGACGGCCCTGCACTCAGCACTGAATCGACGACGGCTACATCAACTCGTAATTGATTGTCCAAGGGTGCCTTTACGGCAAGAGACCAGGTCGAATGGGGGCTATCCCACAACGGCGGCGGCCGTCCTGGATCGGTCAAACTACTATCACCGGCAGCGTGGCACAAACGTGTAGATGGGAGCTCTGCGCATTCTGGGCCCTGTAATGCTTCAGTAAGCGCTTCAGATCGGACACTGCGCTCGTGGCTGTCCCAAGTCATCGCGGCCCTGCCAAGTCGGTTTGCGGGAAAGCACGGATGAACCTGTTGTGGCGATTTATTCATGGTCTGCCGTCCCGCAGGGGGAAACAAAAGTGCAAACGCCACCCTCCATGAACAAAAACGGCTTCAGCCAACATGTGAATACATAAGCACTGTATACCATGGTTTGGTACATTTCTGGTATCGGGCCGCCTGGCGGCGAATATTGATGTCAAGTGCTGACTAGCGCCTGGAGCTACAAACAATTGCGGCATTGAACATGCATGCCCTCGGACTTCGCTCTACTCTCTTCAACTGCAACCGTGCCGACGGACATGGCGACAGTGCCGCCTTACTTGGCGATGCAGCGCGTCGATTTCGTGTGGCAACGGGACCCGTCGCTAATTCACCTGCCCGAGCTGGCGGGTCGCTGAAGCATCAATCCTTCATGGATCGCGAGGAAGTCTCGAGCGATAGCGCGAATCCCAAGTAAGATGTACGGAAGACTAAAGCGAAAACGCGATTCCTGAGTGTCGCGGGCGCGGCCTCTAAATCAAGTGGAAGGAAGTCCTACGCGACAGTGCGATTCCTGGATAAGTTGTGAAGATTCATCCATATGTGCGCTTCCTCGACTACTGGCTGTCTCGTACGGCTTCTACAACTTTTTGGGGGGACGGCCCTCACCCTCGTGGCACATCCTGCCCCCCCACTGTTGTGAGGCTCCCTGGCACGGACCGAAGAGGGCCCCAAGACTGCCATAAGGCGGCTGCAATGTGACCCTTGGCCCTCAACAGGCCCCAACCAGCTCCGAACAGGAGCCCAAGGAGCCGCCCAGCAGGTCAACGCGAGGCCAATAATCCACGAACGTGACCGTTGTATTTATAGGTTTTTGCAACTCCAGAGTATGGGGACGTGCGAATTTGCGGCAACCAGACGCCTAATGAGACACGGCCTGTGACGTAGATTTTAGCCAGAAGCGGAAATGCGATGAGCAATTTCTGGCTGCCCCGTTTTGCATCTACCCTCCAATCCTTATTGCCCGGACTCGTGCTCGCATTGATTACCCTGCTTTTCGGCCTAAGACGGTATCAGGAATACTTTGAAGAGCATCCAGAAACCCCAAGCACAGTCCAAGAGAGCCCCTGGGTGATACAAGATGAAGCGTGTGCGTGGCCCGTGGAGGGACGTGGGCGGATCTGGTTCCTTGCCTCGAGGTGTCGACGAAACCGAATGAATGGAAACAGCCGATGGTCTGTGGTGTCGCCTCTGAGTGTCCCACTGCGTGCCACACCATGGGTTTTATGCGAGACTGCCAATCACGCCATCGAGAGTTTGCGCTTGTAAATCCGCCGATCCGGCGTGTGAATTTGAAAGAGCCTTAGATGTAGCCTCAGCTTCAGTTTCTGAGCTTCTGCTCTGCTGGGGGGTGGGTGCCGGGGTGGCTCTGCCGGGGTAGGGGGATGGGGTGTGGGGGGGGGGGGACGCGCTGTGCTCCGTTTCCCGGGGGGGGTCGGGTCGTGGGAAACACAGCAGAGTGGCACCCCGGATGCCAGAGCCCAAGATTGCTGCAAGATATTTCGCAGACGGCCCAAGATGTACTTAAGATGGCCCAGGATGGCGTCATGACGGCCCAAGAGGCCTTCAAGAGGCCTCTAAGACGGTCCAAGACGTCTCCAAGAGTTTTTAAGCGGCCCGAAGAACGCCCAAAAGGCCCCCGAAGAGGCCCCGAGAGCACTCCAACAGCACCCCCAAGAGGGGCTCACGAGGCCAAACTCGTATGTTTTCCCGATCGTTTTTGACGGGTTTTGACATGCTCGCCTTTTTGGGTTTCCGACGCTCCAAGACGGCCCAAGAGGTCCCTAAGATCGCACCAAGACGGCCAAAGAGGCTCCCAAGAGCGCCCCCAAACTGCCCAAGGAGCCCCAAGGCTACTCAAGAGGGCCCCAAGACGGCCCAAGAGGGCTCCAGGACTACCTCGGAGGCACCCAAGGCGCTCCGAGAGGGTCCCAAGACGGTCCCAACAGAAGCCACAGAGAGGGAACCCGACCCAACACTTGATGGCCTCTTGAGCCGTCTTGGGTTTTCGGAAAGCCAAAAAGGAAGAACCCCCCGAATCCTTCAAAAACCTACAGGAAATAAGTGGTTTGGGCCTCTTCGGGCGTTCCTGGAGGTCCACTTGGAGGCCTCTTGGGCCGTCTTGGAAGCCTCTTGGGGGCTGCTTAGGCCGTCTTGGGCCATCGTGAGGCAATCCCTCTCTCCACCTCCCTCCGCCTCATCCTCCACCTACTCCTCCACCTCCCCTTCCACCAACCAGATCGCATCGGGAGCGCCCCCAGATCGGCGGCACTGGCCGGAGGCCACTACAATAGGAGAGAGAGAAAGAGAGAGAGAGAGAGAGAGAGAGAGAGAAAGAGAGAACTATGCAATGCATCGACCCTGGCCAGGCCCACTCTGGACCCAGGATCGGTGCATGCGCCCTCTCGGCCTGGCCAGGGAGGCATGTGCACCGATCCTGGGCAGGCTGGGCGCGGTGCACGTGCATAGCTCTCGTCTCCTGAGCAACGCCGGCTGCAGCAGGCATGGCAGCTCTGGGGCCGTGGATGCGAGTTGGAGGCGGCTGGGGTGTCTGAGCCGGTTGGGGCCCCCAAAGACGTGTCAGGAGGGGGGGGGTGAAATCAAATCCGCTGAGAATCGGTTCCTGGTCCCCGCCTGGGGCCCATCTGGTAGTTTTTCACCCCGGATAGGTTTTTAAGAGTCCTGGGCCTGTGAACAGGCCCCGGAGGTTGACAAAGGCAAAAGATCTTCCCGAACCCAGGACCTCGAACCTGCCGGCCCTTTCTGCTGGCAGAAACCAGTGCTGGGCCACGACGGTTCCAGGATGCGAGGCCCAACTGCCGAGAAGTCTCCCAACGATGTGGCTGCCCCTGGGGACTCGAGCAGCAGGACGGACTGGGTGAGGTCTCCGAGGCCTCGCGGCCGACGTGCCCGGCTGGCTCCTGCCTTCCTTGACAGCGACGCGGGCCCTGGCCTCTGACACCGCGTGAACTGCACAATATTGAGCGACCTTCGCGGTCGAACCCAGGCCCACTCGCGTCGTGAAAAAGCACATTTTTTGTTTTACACACGCATATATATACACATACATAGACACATAAATATACAGAAACATGCATATTCGGCCTCTGGGGGCCCTCGCAAGGCCCTGGGCCCGTCAAAAACCCGACACAGAAGGAAAAGACGGGCAACGGGTCGAGACCTCCGGGGGTCCACGTTGTGAAAGAATCGCGACGTCGTGGGTCTGGGTCGGATGCTATCGACCCCGCATTTCGTATGCAATTTGCGACGTGGATGGCTCCCGGGCTCCGAAACGGGCCCCCCCCCCCCGGAGAGTGTTGTGCCGAAGGGCCGGCGTCGCCGCCTCGTCGAGGCGGCTCGGACCCGGCAACAGCTCTCGCCGTGCGCGGTCGCCACCGGCTCTCTAGAGCAGGAGGCGTGCCACCGCACTGCTTTCTAATCGGACGTGGGCTGGGGCAGCGTGCCCCGAAGGGTCGAGCTTCGGAAATCTGTGGTTTTGGTTGCGTTTCTCCCTTTCTCGGCTTCCGCGGGGCTTCTCGTCGCCACGAGTGGAGTCGCCTTCAACGTCTGGCCAGAGCGCACTCCAGGATTGGTCCGAGGGGCGATTTTTGGAGGATGCCCCCCGCGCCCTCTCTGTTGGATGCTGCTGGAGGTGCCCGTTGCCTGAGTGCGCCCAAGTTCCCTCGTGGGCTCCGGACGCCCCGCACGAGGCCCTGCACGGGGCCCTGGGGGTCCCAGGATGGGCGCAAAGCGAGTGGCACCTCGGGCCAGGGGACCCCCGTCCGGCACCCGACTCTGCCGCGCCACCTGGCCGACCCTCGCTCGGCCGTCGCCACTCCTCCACTCCAGCTGCTGCTCGCACGACCGCCCGCCTGCCCGCTCACCCTCAGAAACCACCTCCTGTGTCCGCCCGCCGCCTCCCAACCCATCGTGCCCCCTTGCCTGCGGCCCGCCCGCCCCCTTGCTGCAGCCGGCCGCCTCCCGTGGCATCAGGACTACGCGCGGCAGACGAACGCCTGCGGGCGAGAGCAGATTTGCAAGCTGTGAGGGCTGGCGGGGGAAATAGATCAAGAAGCTCGCCGAGGAAAGGACGGCAAACATCCGTGAGTCGAGGGGGATGGCCAAGAGATGGCAAAGTGGCTGCCCATCAGCGTTGATTCGCCCGCAGGGGACGGGAGGCGCTGGGCCACTCGTGCTGCCAGACTGGCGACACATTCCTTCTTCACGCCAGCAACTTGCCATGCTCCTGTATACTCCACTTCCGAAGTGGCAGATATTGGATGCGCGGCAAGGCCATCGCCTCAATTACGTGACTTACGTTGGCAAGCTGCGCTCCTGAGTGTGCGCGACGTCGACATGTCCTGGTGCACCAGACAAGGGAAGCGTGCTTCGGTTTACTTACTTACTTACTTGCACTTAAGGAATACACATATACACGTATGAACGTGCAATTGCAGGTGTACGTGTAAATCCGCAGGCCCCCTTGCGAGGTCACCAGGCTTTAGGCCTAGGCCGAAGTTGCTGCTCCCTGCACCAATTGCAATTTGAAGTCTCCAATGTTGCAGTCTTGCTTTCTGCTTCATAATGTAAATTGTCGAAGTCCGCGCGAGGGGGGGGAGCCCCAAACCGGCAATTTAGCAGCCTCGGATCGGGTGCTCTGAATTCCCTGGGGGGGGGCGTGGGACATGTCAAAACACACGAGAGTCGCGCCCCGAGGCCATACTCCTTGTCACATTGCATACTATTCGCGTCCCCGAGGCCACAAGCCGTCGTAAATCACGCGTGTTTTGCGTCCCCGAGGCAACCAACCTTCGCCAATTACACAATGTTCGCACCCCCGAAGCCATAATCCGATGTAAATGATGAATATCTGCGTCCCCGATGCCATGAACCATGGCGAAATGCGCAATTTGTGCGTCCCCGAAGCAAGAACTCTTCGTACATTACGTAATATTCGCGTCCCCGAGGTCATAAACCCTTGCAATATACACCATATTCGCATTGCCGAGGCCAAGAGTGCTCCAATGCGCCCGAAGATGGTTCCAAGACGGCGCAAGAGGGCTCCAAGAGGCCCCAAGAGCGCTCTAAGAGGCCTCCCGAGGGAGCCCCAAGAGGCCAACATCGTCGACTTTACAAAAGTCTTTGAAGGATTTTGCCATTCTCGCATTTTCGGCTTTCCGACGCTCCAAGACGTCTCAAGAAGCTCCCAAAACCGCTCCAAGACAGCCCAAGACGCCTCCAAGACGGCTCAAAAAAGGCTCCAAGATGGCCCAGGAAGCGCTCCGAGAAGCCCCGAGAAGCCCCCAGGAGGCCCCAAGAGGCCGCCAAGAGGCCACAAGAGGCCCCAAGAGGCGTCCAAGACGCGCCCAAGAGGTCTCCAAGATGCCCAAACGATACCCCTCGAGGCCCCAAGTTGCTGCCAAAAGGCGCTCAAACCGCCTCCAAGAGGCCTCCGAGAGGCTCCCCACGACATCCCAACACATATACAAGAGGCCTCAACCTCAGACCCACAACCCAGGCACGGTGGCGGGACGGGCCGAAGGCCACTGGGATCCGCCGCCCCCTGCTTGCAGGGGTGCACGGCGTGCTGGATGATTCAGGTTTTGGTTTTGGTTCTTTTTCTAAAAGAACTCCCCAGTGGGCTTCGGCCCGTCCCGCCGGCCACCCGCGCATTTCCCAAAATGCGTCTGTCAATGCCCAAAAACGGCCGTTTCGCTCGGGACATCCTCAAAAAATCGCGAAGATGGCCCAAGATGGCCTCCAAGTCCGCCCGAGATGGTCCAAGACGGCCTCCAAAACGGCCCAAGAGAGTCCAAGACGGCCCAAGACGGCCCAAGAGGCCCCCCAGAGGCCTCCCAGACGGCCCAAGAGGCCTCCAAGAGGTCCTCCAGGAGAGTCCGAAGAGGCCAAAATCATTGATTTTCCCAATGGTTTTTGAAGGATTTTGGCATTTGCGCCTTTTCGGCTCTCCGACGGCTCAAGACGGCCCAAGAAGCCCCCAAGATCGCCCAAGAGGCCCCCAAGAGAGCCCCATGATGGCCCAAGTGGCCTCCAAGATGGCCCCTAGAGGGCCCCAAGAGGGCCCAAGAGGCCTCCAACACGCCCAAGATGGCCTCCAAGACGCCCAAGATGGCCTCCAAGACGGCCCTGGAGCATTCCAAGCGGGCCCCAAGTCGGCCCATAGAGGCCCCCCAAACGGCTTCCGACGGCTTCAGACGTGCCAGGAACCCACCAAGATGGCCGAAGTTGGCTCGAAGCTGGCCCGAGACGGCCCAAAAAGCCCCAAAGATCGCCCAAAGCTTGCCCAAGAGGCCTCCAAGACGGCCAAGATGACCTTCAAGATGCCCACGTGTTCCCCGAAGGCTTTCCAAACCGATTCGGGGAACACGTGGTCCGATAGCTTGGCAGGTCTGGCCTCAACGTTCGGCCACATAGGCGCTTCCAAAAAGGCAGGGGGCGGCGGTGATTCGCCGTAGGCGTCTTCGATCCGCCGCCCCCTTTTGATTCATCAAAGGGGTGCCTGGCGTGCCAAACGATATGGCTTTTGGTTTTGGTCCCTTTTCCAACAGAACTCCCCCTGGGGCTTCGGCCCGTCCCGCCGGCCACCTGGAAAGGATCTCAAGGAGCTCAATCCGGAAAAAATCATCTAAGATGGTTCAAGATGGCTTCCAAGATGGCCACGTTGGCCCAAGATGGCCTCCAAGATGGTCCAAGATGGCCTCCAAGTCCGCCCAAGATGGTCCAAGACGGCTTCCAAGGCGGCCCAAGAGAGAGTCCAAGACGGCCCAAGAGGCCCCCCAGAGGCCCCCAAGACGGCCCAAGAGGCCTCCAAGAGGTCCTCCAGGAGGGCCCGAAGAGGCCAAAATCATTGATTCTCAATAGGTTTTTGAAGGATTTTTGAATTTGCTTCTTCTCGGCATTCCGACGGCTCAAGACGGCCCAAGGGGCCCCCAAGATCGCCCAAGGGGCCCCCAAGAGGGCCCCTATGACGGCCCAAGAGGCCTCCAATACGCCCAAGATGGCCTCTAAGACGCCCAAGATGGCCTCCAGGACGGCCTCGAAGCGCCCCAAGAGGGCCCCAAGTCGGCCCAGAAAGGCTCCCAAGACTGCTCCCGACGGCGTCAGACGTGCCAGGAACCCATCAAGATGGCCGAAGTTGGCTCGAAGCTGGCCCAAGACGGCCCAGGAGGCCTCCAAGGCCAGAAGATGCCAAAACATTGATTTCCCTAAGGTTTTTGACATTTGCTTCTTTTCGGCCTTCCAACGGCCCGAGACGGCCCAAGAGCCCCCAAAAATCGCCGAAAGATCACCCAAGAGGCCTCCAAGATTGCCCCAGAAGGGCCCAAGAGGGCCCCAAGACGGCCCCAAGAGGCCCCCAAGACGGCACAGGAAGCCTTTAAGACGCCCAAGATGGCCTCCAAGACGGCCCTGGAGCATTCCAAGAGGGCCCCAAGTCGGCCCATAGAGGCCCTCCAAACGGCTTCCGACGGCGTCAGACAGCCAGGAGCCCACCAAGACGGCCGAACATGGCCCTAAGCTGGCCCAGGACGGCCCAAGAGGCCTCACCCCACCAAGACGGCCGAACATGGCACTAAGATGGCCCAAGGCGGCCCAAGAGGCCTCCAAGAGGGCCTCCAGGAAGACCCGAAAAGGCCCAAATCATTGATTACCCGTGGGTTTTTGAAGGATTGTGGGAGATGGCTCAAGAACGGCTCCAACACGACGGAGAGCTTCCAAGAACAGCCAACACAGGCCCAAGAGGCCCCGACGACGTCCGAAGAGGGCCCCGAGACGATCCCCCAAGGGGGCCCCAAGAGGCACACTCCATTGATATTCCGAATCAGTTTTGAATGCTCTTCGCGTTCTCGCCTTGTCGAGTCCCTGGAAACCTAACACGGCCCGGGGAGGCCCCCAAGAGCGGCCCAAGAGGTCCCCTAATAGGGCACAGAGACGGCCCACGAGGCACGAGGGCCCCAAGACTGTCCAAGAGGTACCAAGATGGCATTCAACAAAAACACTATGAAGGGCTGACTATGGACCCAAGAGAAGCCCAAGAGAAGGAACTCGAACGGGCTTCGGGTGCCCTCTCCCACCAGATGACCCCCAAGACCCTCAACATGCCCCCTAAGAGGCCGAAGACGCCCCAGCCCCAAGGATCTGAAGCCTCCAAGAAGCCTTGCAACATGCGCCGGGGAAGAGGAGGACGAACCAACAACAACTACATGCGAGCAACACGACTGGAAACGGCAACCACCGCATACCGAATCGGAAGCCGCGCATCTCTTTTTCTGGGGGTCGGCGGAATGGCTTAAGCCTCTAGAAGAACTAACAAGACAACGTGGGCGATCATATCCATTGACCAGCAAGGGTATCATGCAAACTCAATGCGAAGCAGTGCACGGCAATGTACACCAGTGATGTTGATTAAATGTGCTGCCAAGCCTGTGCAGAGCAAGGCGTCGCTATGGGAACCATATGCACTGGCAAAGCAACGCAATGTAAACCAAATCAACGACTTGCAAGGGCACAGTCAAAGTGCAGTGCAAGTCACATCAAACCAGAGCAGTGCAACTACGTACAGTGTGATGTGCACGTCGGTACACATGCAATCCACAACAGCGCACTGACATACGAAGCAGGGCAATTAACCCAACGATCCCAAATAATTCTGATGCATCAGAGATGGGGAACCAGGGGGAATAACCCTGGAAAGCTGAGCTCGGGATCGCACGTGCCACTGGGTCTCTTGCACAAGCTAGGGAGGGAGGGAGGGAGGAGCAAGGAGGGATGAGAGGGATGAGGGAGGATGAAGAAGCGAGGAGACAGGTGGAACGGACGAAGGGGAAGAAACGAGGCGGGGTGGAGGTACGAGGAGGAAGGGTCGAGGAACGAGGATCGAGGAGGGAGAGGCGTATGAAGAGCTGGGACGCCTCCTTGGGTGCTCTCGCGGAGCCAGCCGTGAGTCCCCAAAGGACTCCCAGTTGGCACTCTTGGGAGCCGTTGCGGAAGCCGCCTG